TGTATTGATGGTGTGTGCTTCCTGAGTGCTGCTCAACTGCTAGGCAACAACATTCTGCACTATCTTGATCTTCCACAGGTTCTCAGGGTGCTACTGCAGGTAGGGCCCATCACAGGAATCTGTCAAGTGACACAGGCACAAATAACAGTAGCCCGTTCTGCATTGTCGTGAGAGGCAGATGGAAACGATGTTTGGTTGTGGGTTTGTTTGTTTGTTAGCAACAGCTGCTACTAGATTTTACAAAAACATCCCTGGACCTAGTAAATTCCAAGATTGCAAAGGTGAGCCACAAATCAGAAACACACTCCTTTATACAGGCAAGCTCACTAAGTATTCCCATCTTTTCCCTCAACACCCACCATTGCTTCAGCCCGTTTGCCCTCATCACTATTCAATTTAATAGATAATGGATTATTTATTTATTCTGCTGTACCTAGCCAGTTCTGAAATGATGGAAACAGACCTGAATATTATTGTAGTCAGTAACACTGTGGCTCATGTGTCCTCCTGAACTCTCTTAATAATCTCATATGCACATTGAACAGGAGATGTAATAAATGTTATGTCGAGAGTTTCTGGCAATAAACATGGCCAGTTCCCAAGAATCATTGTGTTTTACTTGATTCATGTTTATATTGCTGCACTCATATGCATGCAAACCCTGATATAAAATTGTGAGATCTTTACCACTCAGAAATGTAGAGTGTTTAAAAGAAAATATGAGACGTGAGTTATGTATAATCTATAAATCATTCTCTTTTTTTTTTTTTGGATGGAGGAGGAGGATGTTTGTCGTATGCAAATATATCATAATTAATTACATTTCTTAGGAGCTCCTCAATTCTTAGTAGGAAATCTGAACTCTTCTAGCTCGCTGTGCTTTAGGACAGTGACATTACTTACCATTCTGCATGGTGGATTAAGATTGTTTTCCAGTCTCGAGGATTCAGGCATTGGGTATGTGTTCCTGCGTAGTTGCCAACACCTTCATCTCCTGACTCCTTTGGGGTGAGAAAATAGTTGTATCACTGATGGATCAGTGACTGTATAATTGGCTGAAATAAAAGAATCCTCCAGGATAGCAATGCAAAAAGAGTTGCATTTTAGCATCATCGGGTCCCACTATGAACACCACAGGCACCTGGTGAGGGGCAAGAGAAGACGAACTCCTATTAGTATTTTGTGAGTGGTTCTTAGCCTTATCTGCACATTAGGATGCAGCTGAAACAGTAGCTCAGTATAACCCAATTTCAGGCATTTCTTTGTTCAGGATGCAGTATTCTGCTGTAAATAACGTGAGATTCTTACCTTTTAAGTAGTGTTGCTTTGTCCCTTTGTATCATGACCCTAGACCCTCTTTTGGGAGTAGGTGGAGAGGAGAAGATTCCTTTCATTAGCTTTGCCTCTAGAGTGCTTTTCCTCAGGTTACTCTTCCTGTATATCCAGTCCTTCTCAGCAGCCCGATGTTCACACTAGACTAGAATGTTAATAACTATTTTCTTAATTAGGAAATAAAAGATTGCATATTTGTATTTGTTTGATTCTGTTCCTGTGATGAGCCTTATGTCTAAAGCAGCTGGATCTCTGTTTAAATAATTAACCCATTTCAACTGACCTCTTCTGCTGTAGTGAGAGCTCTCTGTTAGGTAACAGGAGCTATCCACTTCGTTAGAAGATGCAGCTTATGTGTTGTGTACATTCTTTCTCTTCCTCTCTTTTCTGCAGGCCCTGTTTGTGTTCTGTGGGCTCATCACAGGCTGCTACTGCTGTTGCTGTCTGTGTTGCTGCTGTAACTGTTGCTGTGGAAAGTGTAAACCTAAACCTCCTGAAGGCAGCGAGCAGGAATACTATGTCTCTCCAGAGGACTTGGAGGCACAGTTACAGTCGGACGAAAGGGGTAAGTTTCATTAACAGCAGGTGAGGAGTAGGTCATTGGAGATGAAGTAATAATCCAGCCAGATTCTTGTGCTTACGTATAGTGGCCCTTTACACCGAAAGCACATTAAATTAAATGTCAGAACAGCTTTGCAAGTCGCCTCAGGCATGTGGGAAGAAGGATGCTTCCCCAGATAAGCATGTCCAATATGATCAATCAATCACAGAATCTGAGCTTTCTTTTTAAAATTGTTTATATCCGT